GGAGGTCAGGCCATTTTTCATAAATGTTCAGCACCACATTTCAAAAAACATTTACTTCTTGTTCTAATTTGAGAGTCACATTGTTTTGGGAAGGTTTGTGGGTAATTTGGTACCCAATAGAATATACTTGCTATTAAATGCATTCCCGCCTTTAATAGATACTTTTCCTTTGGCCAGACTGAGCTGAATTCATCATCTGGTTCCCTCTTATGCTAAAGGTTTCAGGGTGTTACAAGGAAATTGTAGCAGCTGGAGATTTCTGTTGTCACTGTAGTGAAGGATATGCTCCAGCTTTTAGTCTGTGACTTTTAGAGGAACTATCCGAAGTGCTGAATCCTGCCCCATAATTCAATTCTTTGGGTAGCTCCTTAAAGTTTGGTCTCAGCTCTAGGGTGGATTCATTACCCTCTGATGTGGAAGCCACCAACTACCACTGGAAGAAGATCCGTTTCACTTCTGTTACCTGAAATCATTGAACTTTACATGCTACAGGCCAGGCCTGTTGCCTTGTACATATCTGACTGTTATTTTGGTTCATGTGATAATCAGAAGGTAAGCGAAAAATACATTATAACATAGAGCAAAACCTGCCTAACATGGCACCCTGAAGATATATATTGCATTACATGTCCTGTAATCTCCAGACAGCATGGGCACAAAGGATAGGGGTTGTAATCTAAAGCATCTGGAGGGTACCAGGTTGGGGAAAGCTGGTATACACTTTGAAGACTTGCTCTGCCTTTTTGTCCACTTCTGAATCCATCTGTACTCATTTGCTTTAGCTACAGCAGTGAAAGGCTACAAATGTATTTATTGTTTTCATTTGTTTATAATAATTCATACTGTCTTGAGTGAACATAGATTATAGGCCAAACTCCACATGATACATTTACTTGCTTCTTTCATCTCAAAAGAGAAAAAAGAAACAAAACTCCAGCTTTTGATGCTGCTGTCAGCTGTTATTTAACTCTTCCTTCGGTGCTCTTCACTTTCTTTAAAAACTCCATCCCCATTTCCTTTCCCGCTTGTGAATGAAACGATATCAGTGGGCGGGAAAGCAGCTGGAAAAGTAAGAGTGAAGCAGCTGCCAGGGCTCAGAGGCTATACCTAGCAATGCCATCTTTTGGGGCTAAATCACCAATAATTCCACTGGCTTTGCTGGGTGAGAAATTCTGACATTGTACAGTCGTCACTTCAAATTTGTGGGGGTTAGGGGAATAAGACCCCTGTAAATTTGAAAAACTCGTGAATAACCCCCCCACGGCAGCCATTTCAAAAGTGGGAGGGGTGAAAGAACAGAGTGCTCCTTTCCTTCACCCCTCCCATCCAGGAAATGCTGGGAGAAAGGCTTTTGCTATGTGGGAGGGGTGGGGGACGGAGCTCTGGCTTCCTTCAGTCCTTGCCACTCTGGAAAACCTTGGGAGAAGCCCTTCCATGGTAGCAGGGGTTTTGGGGGAAGCATGCATGTGAGTCCTCTGCCTTCTGATGCCTCAGAGAGCTTGCTTGAGGAGGAGGGAGAGACGTGCACATGAGTCTCTTGCCTGCCTTCTGATGCCTCAGAGAACTTGCCTGAACTCTCTCAGACACTGGAAGGGAGGCAGGGGAATCATGCAAGCTTCTCTCACCCCCCTCTGATGCCTCAGAGAGCTTACTCGAGGTCTCTGAGGCATTGAGGGGGGGAGAGCAGTGTGTGCACCCTTCCCAGCTGCTCCCTCCCTTCTAAGCTTTCCCCACCCCAAGGGGAAAAGCCTGGGAGGGAGGAAGAGGGGGAGTACATGTGCACACAGTGACTCACAGATAATCAGATTTGCGAATGTCAAAAGCCGCGAATTTGGAGGGACGACTATAGTTCAAAATGTTACTTTACTCAACTTTCTTTTTTGCTGACCTGGTAGTATAAGGTGCATCATTAGATTTATTCTGGCAGGCATCTCATTTTGGTTCTTTGTAGCTGTGGCTCCTGTTAGGTAAGTGGAAATTGTACCAGCAATGATCAGTTGACATGAGGGAGATTCAACACGGTATTTTGTGGGACTGGCATTTATTAGGATCTAAAGAAAACAGGATTAGCATGGGAGAATGTCTTCAGATGTACTTTTGCTAGATTTGGAAGTCTGGAAGATTTGGGATGAGTATCAAGTAACTTGGTTAAACTTCCAGCAGTGCCCCAGCTCTTTGAGTAATCTTGGATATTCAGGCATGATGTAAGAGAGCAGGTGAATCCACATGTAGATTCTTATTTTTAAGTGACTTAAAGCTGTTGCATTTGTGAAACAGCCATTATAGATTATTTATTTTAGACAGAGTTGTCCCATCACCTGACATAACCTAAAATAAGGCCTATTCATGAAAGCAATAAAGTACACGAGAAGATCTTCACCAGCTCAAACCAGAAGTCTTTCTCAGGAATGGGAGAACTTTGGCCTTCTGGACCTTTTTGATTTCACCTCCCAGAAGTGCCAGACACCATGACCGATGGTAAGGGATCCTGGGAATTGTAGAAGAAAGCAAAAGGCAAATACTGTCTTCTTCAGTATTCTCTTTCACACACAGTCTACTTTCTGTATCCACTGATTTTGTATCCATGTATTCAGGCATCCACTGCTTGAAAATATTACAAGAAATATATAATTTCCAAAAAGCAAACCTTGATTTTCCCATTTTATATAAGGGACATCATTTTACTATGCCACTGTGTACTTTGGGACTTGAGCATCCACAGATTTTGGTATCCATGGAGGGTCCTGGAACCAAACTCCAGTGGATACCAAGGGCCCACTGTATGACCAACCAGATGCCTCCCAAACATGACATGATGTGGTATATAGCCATGAAGACTAAAAGGTGCTGATCACCTTAATCTCCATGAATTTGTCACATTCCCATTCAGTCCCACTTTCATTCCAGTTTACAGTTTTGTGTGAACTTTAATTCCAAAGCGGTGGAATTTATATTAATACTAAACTCTAGCTAGAATTCTTCTAGAGTAAGGGATTAGTTTCCTGTGACTGAGAATTCAGATCTGTCATGGAAGCAGAGGTTGGGGACAGTCTTTCTTTGATTTAGACTGTGCTTGGTCAAGCTGCTCTCTTGAAATGCTTAGCTGCAGGGCCTAAAATGCCTCATTATAATTCTCATTGGAGTCCTGTTGATGCAAGGATAATTGCTTTTGTTCAGGAGACTAAAATCACCACAGATTTGACTGGTGCAAATTGCTCCCCTCTTCATCCACTTAACAAACAGAGAGCTCAATGGGAATATTATAAATAGAATATTTTGTGTGTGAACACTGAGGTTTGGTATGGCTGAAGGTCCTCTCTGCTCCCCTCCCCTTCATAGCTGCTTTGTGTGCCTTCAACATGTTTCTGACTTGTAGCAACCCTAAGGTGGGCCATAGGTTTTTCTTGGCAGGATTTTTTGGGAGGGTGTGTGCCTTTGCTTTCCTCTGAGGCTGAGAGTGTGTGACTTGCCCAAGGTCATCCAGTAGGTTTCCATAGCTGAACAGGGATTTGAACCCTGGTCTCCAGAGCCATAGTCCACTGTTCATACCACTACACCACACTGGCTCTTATAGCTACATTGCCTAAATCTGTTAGTCCAAACTAGAGTAGGTCTAGTGAACTGGAAGGAATTTGGTTGAGTATTGAGTACAATTACTGATTGAACATTTTTACTGATATGTATAAAAATTGGTCAGAGTAAAAATTGTGACCCTTGTTGAATGTCTGTCAGATCCCTATGAATACTGCCATGTGCTTTATTGGTATTGGTTTTGGGGGTTTGATATTATATTGGGGCTGGCTATGGGTATGGGGCGTAAAGGAGGGAGGATGGGCTGCTATGGTACTAGCTGCAAGGTCTTGGAGGTTGGGTCATCTGTTTCAGCAAGGGAATGGAATTTGTGGGTTTTTTTGTTTTTGTTTTTTGCTTTGGGGGCTTGTAGCCTAATACTGCTTGATATGTAGCTAAGGGGGGGGGGGGGGTTAGATGGATGATAGTGGGACTGTTAGAATTAGTGGATGGGAATGTAATTTTGCATGCTAATTGGCAGGGAAGGAGTTTGGGATTATAAGGTTTTAACCTGATCTTGATGCTATGCTTGGGCAGTTCTAATTTAAATGCATAACTGGGAACTTTTAAAATATATTTTATGTGATTTTATATTATATATTATATTGTATGTATCTTATGTGATTTTATATGTGATTTCATATATAGATGTTTTAATTGTTTTGAATTTTATTGCAATTTTAATGGTTTTATCTGTGAGCTGCCTTGGGTCCCTCCAGGGAGAAAGGCAGGATATAAATGAAATAAATAAATAAAAATAAAACAAATACACTTCAATCCTTTTGTATTCAATAAAGTTCTTTCATTTTCTTCTTCAATGAGGACTCTTTTCTTAAGACATTTGGAGTTAGGCTTTCTTGTTCTGACAGTAAGTTAGAACTCACTGAAGGTGGTGCTGGTGCTGGCTAGATTAACGGAAGGACTGGGAGGTGCTGGAGCTCTGCTGCCAGCCGCACTACAAGGGCCGTGGGGATCCCAGCACAATTGGTGCCAGTGGTGGTGCCACCAGTGAACCTATGGCAGCTAGGACCCAGGACCCCACAGCTGGAGAGCAGGGGGTAAAGTTTGATGGCAGGCCCAGCCAGCTTCCCTTCTTTTTGGCTCATGTGGTGGGGCATGTGAACCAATGGGGACCAACTTTTCCCAACAAGGCAGCCAAAGTGAGGTGTGTGATGGCACACCTGGTGGAAGATGCGGCAGACTGGCTGATGCAGTTGCAAAATGGCGGGGCGGCTGAACTATGTCACATGCATTAATGTGTATAGAGATTTTGTAGCACCTTTGAGACTAACTGAAAAAAAAAGAGGTTTATAGCATGAGCTTTTATATATTCATATTAATTCTACAGACTAACTATATCTGTAAATTCTACCACTATGGAAAGCACCAAATTTAGTTGAATGAAGTGGAAATCCATCAACCTCCTCAGGAAACTTAAGGTGTCCATGAAATTGGACTGATGAGATGCTTACTTCTGAGTAAGAATATGAGAAGGAGATGAATATAAGGCTGCTTTCAATTGCCCCCTGGGGGCTTTTGAATACCTGGTGATGCCATTTGGGCTAGTGGGATCTCCAGGTGTTTTTATGTGCCTAGTAAATGAGATCTTGCATGATTTGTTGTTTGAGGGGGTCCTGGATTATTTAGATGATGTCTTGGCTTATTCCCAGAATCTAGAGACTCACATAAAGTTGGTACAAGAAGTGTTAGAGAGACTGCTAGACAACCAGCTTTACATGAAACTTTCCAAGTGCAACTTTCACACAGATAGGCTGGACTTCCTGTGAAACAAAGTGTCCACTCAGGGAATTGAAATGGACCCTGGCAAGGTCCAGAAAGCATTAGAGTGGGTCCCACCCAAGACCCGAAAGCAAGTACAGAGCTTCCTAGGTTTTGCCAACTTTTACAGCAGTTCATCCCGAATTTTGCCCACATAGCACTGCCAATCATGGACTTGCTAAAGGCCAAAATTAACCAGAGGGGAACGCCAAGGGGGTGCCGGTGGAAAAACTGAAGCCTTCCACCAAAATCCAGTGGACAACAGAGTGCCAAGCAGTTTTTGAGAAGCTTAAACAGTTATTTAGTACTGAGCCCATTCTCAAGCACCCAGACCTGGATTTGCCATTTGATGTTGAGATGGGTGCAGTGCTAATGCAAAGGGACTGGGGGTGGTGGTGGTGATGAGGCCATGCACCGATTCGTCCAGAAAGTTTTTGGGGGGGAGCTGGACTGCCCCACTTGGGAGCAAATGGGCTTTACAAAATTAACATCAATTTTTAGAGAGGGCGCTCCATCCCTCTGAAGTTTGGACAGATCACCAGAATTTGGAAGCTCTACAGACCCCTAGGAAACTAAGCCCAAAACAATGCTGCCGGGCCAAATATTTTTGCCAGTTCAAATTTAAATTATTTTCCCCCCTGGTAAACAAAATGTGTTAGCTGATGTATTGTCTATGCTCCCTCAGCATGAGTGCAAGAGAGAGGCACCTATTGAGATTGTGTTCACACCCGAGCAACTGGGGCTGGTGGTGGTGACATGGAGTCAGGCTCAGAACTCTGAAAGGTAGGCAAGACTAACCAGTGATTGAGTGAATACTCTGACTCCTTAGAAACTAAGAATGGACTGTGGCACAAAGGTTCCAGAACATATGTTCCCAGAGAAATGAGACTCAAAATTTTGCTGTTGTGCCATGGTACTAAAGCAGCTGAACATTGGGGATTTTTAAGGACTTGGCACCTGATCCACAAACAGTATTGGTGGGATGGGATCAGGGCAGATGTGGAAACTTACATTAAAGGGCGCCTTGTATGTTCCTATGCCAAACCCATGGCGGGGGGGAGGCCAAGTCCTGTGAGTTGTTGAGACCGCTACTCATGCTGGTTGCCCCCTGGAGGCACATTGCTATGGATTTTATCCCAGAGTTACCAGACAGCATTTATGTGGTGACAGACATAATTTCCAAACAAGTACATTTTGTAGGGTGCAAAGGCTTGCCAATGGCATCCAAATTAGCTGACATGTTCATAGCCCACGTATACAAATTGCATGGATTACCAGACAAGATTGTGAGTGATTAGGGGAGCCAGTTCACTTACCCGTTTTCGAAAGTGCTGCAAAAACAAACAAACAAGCAAACAAAAAAAAAACAACTGGGAGTTGAACAAGCAATGATTACTTCCCATTATCCACAGACAGATGTGCAGTCTGAGAGAATGAACACTTCTCTGGAGCAATATCTAAGATACTACAGGATGATTGGTTTGACTTATTGCCCCATGTGGAAGTGGTGTTCAATGGGGCTATCAATCAGAGCATGGGACATTCCCCATTTGAAATTGTTTATGGCTATGAAGCTAAGACTCTGCCATCCCTGATTACTGAGCCATCAGACCCAATCCCTTTGACCCAGTGGATTACAAAGATTAGGAAGGCTTGGTCTCCAATCATCGACAGGGGTAGTGTGACCCTGTTGGTGCTCCTAG